CAAAAGAAATAATTTTCCAACTTGCCATATTGTATGAGTCTTTGTCCAAATCCCAGCTCTCCCTAGAGGATTGCTCTCATCATCTGTGGATTCCCTTTCATCTTCTGCCTGTATGCTGAACTGCCGTACTGCCTGATACACAGTCATGTTATACGGTAGCAAATGTTCTCCAATGTAAAATTGTAGCCTGTGTCTTACATTTCCTGAATTTAAGAACTGAGCGGCCTAAATAAAGTAAAGCAAAATCCATTTAGCTATAGGCCTTGACCTTTATATAGTACACTACAACATGGTGGGAACAGGACCTTACCAGAGACTCATCTATTTCCTCATCTGACCCATCGTCATCACTGTCTTCATCATCTTCTCTTACTCTTCCATATCCTAAAGAACCAAGAAGGGTATTAAATTCCTAGCAATTTTAAGTGTCAAAAACAAAAACACAACAAATCTTGTATACACTGGTTAAACTAATATATTCTTAGAAAAACATGTAGAGGTTGAGTAACCCTATTTGAAATGCTTGAGACCAGAAGTGTTTCACATATTGGATTTTTTCGGACTTTCAAATATATGCATATATATAATGAGATATCTTGGGGATGGTACACTAGTCTAAACACAAAATTCATTATGTTTCATATATACAAGGCCTAAAGGTAATTTTACAGAGCATTTTAAATAATTCTGTGCACGAAACAAAGTCTGGGGGCGCCGAATCATCAGAAAGCAAAAGTGTCAGGTGTGGAATTTTCTACTTGTGACGTCGTGTTAACACTCAAAAAGTTTCCGATTTTGGACCATTTCGAATTTCCCATTTTCAGATTTGAGATGCTGAATCTGTATATATTATACTGATCTATGAAGCAGAAGGTCTAAGAAAACTGTCAAATACAAAATGTCATTTCCTCTACATTCCAACAAAATAAGTTGATTCATCATGCAAGTAAACAGTCAACCCCTAAGAAGTTCAGTGTATGTCTACATACTAAATACAAAATAAATAACATGAAAACAAATTCCTTTTGTGTAAGTTTTAAAAGAAACAGCATTAAACAGAGAAACAATGCATACATCTCTTAATATTAATTTCATCACAAATACACATCAAAACATACAAAACATATATATGTAAAGTACCTCTAACTACAAGGTATCTCTCAATAGCTTGTACCAAAGCCAGGGGGTCGATCTTAACAGGTCCACCCTTCCACTGCTTCACGTTTGCACAGTCTGGATGTCTTTGTAACTGGCATTTTAACTGATGTGTGTTGAAAAATTTTAAAGCCTGTGATCCTCTGTTGAGAGAAAAGCTCAAGATAATTTGTGAAAAAAAAGTTAGTCTATTATTTTCACAATCAATATATATTAATACAAATAAAGGCAAGATAATACAAAGCCTGAATTTTCTTAAGGATATTTAAGGATATATTTTCTTACAAAATAACCATGTACCAGTTTTGTAAATGGTAAAGCCAGTAATTCAAGTTATTTAGTAAAAGTTACTATAAATAAGAAAAGATGGGTATGTATGCATGCATATGAAAACCTTAAATGAACATTCAATCTCTGTCCCACCATCAATCCATGTGAGAAATATTTAGCCACAGATATTTAATTATTTCTCTGGAATAAAAATTCCTCAACTATTTGAGTATACTCACTTCTGCAATATTTTGCCCTTTCCTATTAAATCTATTTAAAAACAAACAAAAAATCCTCTTTTTTTGCTTTCAAAGATTTCAGTAACAAAATTACTTCTAAAATTAACCTTTAAAATTTACTTTGCTATATATACTTTTGAAGGAAGAAGTGTAACAGCTACAGCAATCAAAACCTGGTAATAGTATTTAATTCCTCGTTTTTGAAAAGCTCTGACAGGAGTCAGATACAGACAAACTTAAAATGTGGTTATCTATAAAAGCATGCAAATAGAGGTATGAAGATTATTCCACTGTATTAATATATGCTTATTTAAACATATAGATTGTATACAAATTTGGACAAAAATTAAAAGTTTCATGGTTTTCTCAACCATAGTTGAAAATATCCCTTTATTTCATAAACTCCAGGATAGTACAATGATCAAAACTGAGTATCACACTCTATACTAAATTTCAAAGCAGAAAAAAAACCCCAGTCCACACCGTGATTGCTTTATCTACTCAACGATGCATATTATTTTAATTTAATTACTTTTTAAAAATATTTTTAAAACATCAGAATGTGGATTTTAACACCGAACTAATTTATCTTCTAGGCTTCCAGTCAAAATATTCCACAAAGCTTGTAACATTCCATAACACACAACACTTAATTTTTACAATTAATTCCTTCTTGTAGCACAAGTCTCTAAAATTATTACTGAAAAAAACAGAAACTTTTATTAAATTAGTAAAAGTTTAAAATACTTGTTCAAACTCATCAAAATACAACCACTTATTATAACCATTTCACATATGAAATATTGCACAGAATGTAAATATTTTATTATCTGCATCTATAAAGTTCTTAGAGAAGCTTTATATGTTAAAGTATATCAACTTAAGGAAAACTAAGCCTATTACAAGGTGCCAACATAATCACTGGGTTATATATTTTTAGAACATCCTGTTTAAGACATACGGTATGATTTTAAAGATAAAAAGCATTTGATTTATTCTTTTGAGTACTCAATTTCTCAGTCATTATAGTCATTATGTTCTTCGAGTACAAGGCTTTATCAGACCTCTTGCCACTTTATCTCAATGAAATAAAGCACCAAAGTCCAGTGGCAAGGGCATACCCCAGCAATGGTCCTTACCTGCCTCCTGTCCCATTTCCACTAGGGAAATCATGCACTTTTACTGGAAATTGTTCCATCTGGCTGAGGCAGTTGTTCATCTTGTGAACTAATGCCAACAAAGGTGCATTACCCACTGGTTCTACTCTTCCAATGGGCTCTTCTCCAGGAAGCTAAAGTTATAAATAAACCAACAAGTTAAGCAAGGCCTTCTGAAAATGGAACACTCCTCACGAGAAAATTTAATAAGTAATTTTACAAAAGAGAATCATTCATCTATTCATTTTTATCTTTTATGACAGGTTTGGCTGGAACGTTTTCAAACATATTATTTGAATAAAAGCTCTTCTTTGTACAGCCTACAATCCCTTATTCACAATTCTTAAATTCAAAAGGCTATGAAAACACAAGTCATTTGGTGGCAAAATCTAGCCCAAACAGACACGAGGCTATTCACTATCTTTATTTACCTATTTTAGTAAATATATTCATGTATTTTGCTGTAAAAATATTTAATGCGTATGATTATACAGTGTTGTTTAGAATCCACTAGGGATATTAATGTACTGCAGACCACTGGAAACTCATCCAACCCCAGGCGTTTCAGATAAGAGATTGCAGACTACCACATAATTTTAAGCATAGTACAAAGCTATATCCGATACTGCCACACATCTAATGAATCTCCAGTAAATATCAACTCTGCTTCAGGTACCCCCACAAGTTAGAATAATTCAGCAGTACTCAAATGTCCATGAATACTGCAAGGGCATGGTGAAGTAGTATTGCTAATACATAGGAGAGTTATCCTTAACCCTATTACACGGATAATCCAGACAGAAGCTTCCCAAGGAATGCCTTCTCTTAAGCAGTTGTAAACAAGGAGAATACTGTTAAGTCCAAGCATCCAGGAGTGATTACCCTATTGCTCTCACCCATTGACAGTAAAGGGAAGGGAGCCACTCTGTGGTTCCTGGCCTTGTAATCCACATTATAAATGGTGATTAAGTACCCTTGAATGGAATTGTTAGGACTGTGTTTTATATACAAAATGGAAACATGTCTCCTCTATCGTATGTCTATAGCTATGTTATGCCTGCCTATTTCCCTAAAAGAGGATATGACAGTATGTTTAAAAACAACTATTGTGAATAGATACTTCTACCATAGAAACTGTAGCATGGGCTTCATTAAATCATCATTTCATTGTTTTACTATTTCTTTTGATATATAGAAATCCAAGGAATCCAACTGTCCATAAGCAAGCCAGAAATTTTCCCTCAATATCCTGACAAACACCTACTGGAAACAACTACTGGGATGAAAAGATATGCATTAGTGAACACTAATTCTTATAATAAGATACACAAGCTTTATTAGATAACTTACTGGAGAAGAAAAAAATACATGGAGGAATCTCTTTAATCTGATCTCTCTGCTCACAGCATCCTTTTCACTTTTAGATGTCAAATAAAGCAACAGCTGCTTCACAAATCCACTATGCTGGATTTCAAATGATGAAACATCTGACTCTGAGACTATGCTACGGATTTCTACAAGGCACTCAGCTCCACCATCCACCTGAAAGAGTTGGGAAGAGTATTTCCATAATTATTTAAACAGCATTTACTACATGCATAATTCACATTCCTCCCCCAAAACAAAAGACATTCTCAATGCCTTCAAAAAAGATGGATGGGGAGTGGCATATTCTTAGTAAATCCTTGGAAAATACGTTCTTATATGCATACAACAATGCTCAATATTCCATGACAAAAAAAAAGGTATCCATAATAACATAAGAAAATATATCTTCACATTCAACCAATGTTGCTTTTTTAAAAGAAATTTTTTTTGTTAGTAGATGAGAATACAAATCAAAGAATAAGGGACTATAATACCAGATAAAAGAATACAAGGCTTAGCTTTAAATTTATACATTCAAAATCTCAATAAAATGAACAATTTCTTGGAAAATGTACCACCAAAGTTGCTCAAAGTACATCAAAAACGTAAAACATGGAGAGAATCAGATAAAACATAAAAGCCTTATTATTAAACCTCCACCCTCTCCGAATACAATGAGACTGCATGGGGAGAAGGGTTAAGGAGAGGCCTATCAATTCTTAATACCTACAGTTGAAGAGGACTTAGAAAAGAGATGTGCTTGAGGTGATGGACATTTCTAAAGTCTCTTCATTTGTCAAGAAATATGGAAGTGAAGGAAAGAAAGTCAAAGATGATCTGATTTAATGATAGAATGATGAAATCTGATAGTCAAGGGACAAGTAATAGAAATGTCAGCACATAGGTACACGTGGGGTAAGAAAGTTAATTAATCTATGATAGCTAAATCTATGGAAAGCTAGAGTCATCAAGGAAAGCAGTAATAAGACTAAAGAGCTGCAGGAAGAGACTGAAAAGAACTAGCAAGATGCACCGGACACAGTACCTGGAGGTTGAGTTGTTCGGTTGCAGCACAAAGTCTCTGAAGGACATTCAGTGCAGGGTTGCTTCCATCCATATTCTCAGAACTGAAATAATGCTCTACAAATTTATGTGCCTGCTCCTTAATCCAACCTTTAATTTTCTCTCTACAAGTAAGACAAAGGAGATATTGAAGTCTCAGTGCATGTAAAAAGGATCTCAATCATAATTTCTTACCAAGGCAAATAGTCACTACACTTAAAACCATTTTTGGCCTACTGCTTATAGATTAACCAAATTAAATTTCACTTTAAAAATGGGCTAAGAGGTACCCAGAGAATTGTTCAGGTATTTAAAATATCTTTCAGGTCATTACATGAATAGTAAACAAAATGTTCTAATTTCTTGGGATCCTACAATGTAACAGTTTCCTAAGTGTTCACCCAAATGCAATTTTATATGACTGTTTTCTAAAGACATATCTGCATTGTCCTTTACTTGTGTTCCCAGGAGACGCGAAAAACTATAGAGAAGAAACATGCACATGGTAGTTGCGTGATAAGCTATGATGAATGAAACCCACCTGCTTAAATTACAAATACTGATAGCTTCACAAATACATTTATTATTTTTATTAACTAAAATTCAGAACCACCACCAACCAAACCAAAAATCATGTTTTCCCAATGGCATTTGATTTTTCAAAACTTCTTATTTGTGAAGGAAATAATCCAAGTTGGGATGTTACATCCAGAACCAAAAAAAAAAACCTCACAAAATGTAATTCCCAAGGACTTTAAAAGCTGTAAGTTGGTGTGAAATTGTTTAGCTGATAGAGCTCCAATTTTTTTATTTTTAAAAAGGCTCTCCTCTAAAATCCTTATGTTCCATTGTAATGGGTAGAGAAATTTTATCATAAATATGTGTAAGTGTGGACAGAAAATGTCAGCTTTTCCTAGTAGAGAGGAACTGAGGAACAGCTTCCATGGGGAACATAATTTGACTGATTTGAACATATATGATTTTCAGTTAAATATGTTGAAAGGAGCTTTAAAATATAAGACTGGAATTTAGGACAAAATCTGATGCAGAGTTCATTAATTGAGATCTACCTCATCTTTGAGATATGCTACTTCTGACAACAAATGGAAGTTCTGTGCCCATGTATCATCCCCATACAATAAATGTGCTGGCTGAAATAAGTGTTTAGGATATGGGAATATAAGCAACATAGACTTCCCCCCACTTCACCTATTATTGGATATGGTGTCCTTTGAGGCAGCTCTGGCAAGACCACTAACTCCTGCAGTTCGTGCTGGCTCAATGTTGTTGCTGTTGGACTGTGCACTTAACCGTCCCCATGTTTTTGGATTCAAGCTTGCCAGGAATGAAGATTTAGGTGACTGGGTAGTGGTGGGGCTTTTAGCTACGAAAAGAAAGGAGAACTACAGTTAAATCATTTTAGCACAATTGATGAAAAACAACTGATTCACAGTTTTAACATATTAAAAGAAGGAATTAAGAACACTGTGTCCTTAGGAAACTTAGGAAACCCAGGCATACTTTAAGAGCTACTGGCAGTTTTAACGAAGTATATTTCTGAAAGTGATCACTTTCCCCCTTTAACTCCCCATAGTTTCATCAAAGGGATTACCTTGATTGTCTACTTTGTCGTCATCTCTGGGAGGTGAGTACTTTGGCCTTCTTGGCCCTCGTTTTGGTAGTCGTTTTCTCTTTAGAACATCACTTAACCGACTATCGCATGGGAAAATATGGAATAAGTTTAGTAATTACCACTGATTTATATCTTCACTCATTGAAAAAGCAAGCTAAAATGGCAGAAATAATGAGTTACCAAATGTTATGATGGTATTTTTCTTTTAGTGATTATTTATTTAATGCTGACACTGTGCCAGTTATGTTCTAGAGGTGTACAGACACAGGAAATGATTAGTTCAGAAAATAACTTAGGTATTTGACTATACTGAACTATTAAAAATAAAACCAAATAGGGTAGTTAATTCTGTGTGTTCTTACGTAATACATAAAGTACATAAAGCAAATACACAACACAAAGAACCAAGTTAAAAAAACTGAGTATTCACCAACTACAAAAAGAGTATGTTAAATATGAGTACATTTCTTTCCTAACCTAAACAGCAACAAGTAAAATATACATAGCACTTAGTGTTCATATTATCAAAGCATTTTCCAAACTGCTTACAATTTACTACCTAAAAAATTCCATGGTGTGGCAATGGCAATAACATCCTAAATGAATACATTTATAAACACTTTTGTGGGCTTTTAACCTGTATATAAATCTAGTGAGTGATAATGTGAGTAATCTACTTTCAATTAGAATCATGTATTAAATGGAACATGTATAGCTTATGTTAACACTAGAAATAGTTTGAAATAATAATAGATTCTTAGAATGACAAAGCTACATAAGATGGAAAAGATGAAAAATGTTCTCATTCAGTTGGTCTTGTGACCCAAATAAAACTGGAAAAATCTGAAAAAATGTGGAAAAAGTCTTCCAACACCTGGCATTTCAATAGAATATATTTAATTTGCTCAAATATGATTGACAATCAGGTAAAATGAACTTTCTAAGGATAAAAAATATAATTAAACAAATTTTCACTTTAAAAATAAAAGTTAATATGAACTTTTCATTTGCGACCATATTGGGATACAGAACCACTTAAAGCTCTGAAAACACTTCAAGAAAAATGTTCTTTTCTCTCTCTCTGGAATCATCAACTGTTAGAATCTATAATCAACTTCAACTCTTTAATTTACAGTGGCTCAGAAATACTGCTTTTGTCTAAACTGCATCACAGTTCCCTGAAATTCATCACTGAGTACCTATGATGTCTTGGGTACCATGTCTGCATTATACAGTAAAACCCTGTAGTAACTTAGGGTTACTACAGCAGCTAGGGGGTGGGCATGGGGCTGGGAAGGAAGTAAAGGGGATGGCAAGGATGGAAGGTTAAACGGCAGACAAACATAACCTCAGAATCAGGAAAGCGGAAACCCCAGAATTCTCCAAGTCCTATCTCCTCAGACTGGTCACATGACATGGGTACCACCTAAACTCAGCAACTTGCTAAAATAACAGCCATTCTGCCAGAAGTTCCAGTTTGCCACAAGTCCTAGAACTGCCAAAATTCATATTTAAGCTAGAATGGACAACTGCCACCAGGTGGTACCAAAAGTAGCTATCCTCCCACCCCCAGCCGGCTACTTGCTCAAGACAATGCTACCTTGCAGTTTACAGGATTAAATTGTTGGAACCTACTTGTTGATTATTACTGTTTTACCAAGATCTACTTTTCAGCTTAAAAGGACCAAAAAGGAGTACTACATTAAGTTCATTCCGAATTTCAGAACAGATTTTGGATCATCATGTACTATTCACCTAGCAATATTAAATTCCTAACAGCAAAGAAACAAAAACACTTCTGGAGTGTGATTTTTGTTTCGAACAACAAAATGAAAACCAATATGAAGGTCTGGAAACATTTTTAGTAGCACAATATAACACAGATTAAAAGCTAATAAATAAATAACAGTAGAAAATTTTAACAACTCCCATTTTCTTTTATTAAAAGCAAAGGGCCGGGCGTGGTGGCTCACACCTGTAATCCTAGCACTCTGGGAGGCCAAGGTGGGCAGATTGTTTGAGCTCAGGAGTTTGAAACCAGTCTGAGCAAGAGCGAGACCCCATCTCTACTAAAAATAGAAAGAAATTAATTGGACAACTAAAACTGTATAGAAAAAATTAGCCGGGCATGGTGGCGCATGCCTGTAGTCCCAGCTACTCGGGAGGCTGAGGCAGAAGGATTTCTTGAGCCCAGGAGTTTGAGGTTGCTGTGAGCTAGGCTGACGCCATGGCACTCTAGCCCGGGCAAAAGAGTGAGACTCTGTCTCAAAAAAAAAAAAAAAAAGCAAAGTATTTGCTCCAATTTGCCAATGAAAGATAAATGGGGCCAGGCATGGTAGCTCGCGCCTATAATCCCAGCACTTTGGGAGGCCATGGTAGGAGGATCACTTGAGGCCTGCAGATCAAGATGAGCCTAGGCAACTTAGTGAAATCCCATCTCTATAAAAAACTTTAAAAAATTAGCTGGGCATTGTGGCAGGTACCTGTTGTCCTCGCTACTGGGGAGGCTGAGGTGGGAGGATCACTTGAGCACAGGAGTTTGAAGTGACAGTGAGCTATGATTGTGCCACTGCACCCCAGTCTCCTGGGAAACAAAAGAAGACCCTCCCCCTTTCTTCTACCATCCCCCAAAAAAGGGTAAAAGGCAAATCAGGGGTTTGTTTGCCTTCATATTCTAATCTTCAATGTTTTCCACCAAATCATTATCTGGATATCTCGAAAGTATATCAAAGGCGATATATATACAGCAGTACAACAATCACAAGATTATGGAACCAAAAATGAACACTCAAATCCTGCATGTGTAACGTAAGTGTGTGACACTGTGCAAGTCACCAGTGTTTCTCAGCCTTACTTCTCTTATACATCAATAAAAATGGCATGTGTCTCTTGTAGTTCCTAAACACAGCCCAATCTGCAGGTTTCCAATAAATGTTTTCTTCCCATTTCCATCAAACGTCTAACAAAATACAGATGGAAAAATATAAAAGGTACACTCTAATATTTTACCATTTCACTTCCTATATGAGGTCTTACCCACCAAAGCAGAGCTAAAGGCAAAGAGCATAAAAATCACAAGAAAACTCTCACTTACCCTTGAGGGCTGAGATCTAAAGAATCATCTCTACTGTGCTGCAAGCTGGGTGATCCCAAGTCAGCTGCGGCGTTAGTGGCAGCCGTGGCTGTTCCACTGCTGACTGATGTTGTGGTCCCCAAGGATCCTGACCCATTCGTACACGCCTTTGGTGGACTTGTCAACAAAGATTCTGACTCTGCTAAGTGTTTTACTTGATGCATTACACCTTTATGGTAACAGAGATGAAAAGAAGTCAGTTTTAACACACTGACTGCCACACTAGAAAAAAAAACTTTTTCCTTGGAGTCAGAGTGTTTTATTAAGAAAATAGAATAAAAACTCTGAAAACAAAACTATCCTAATTTAATGAAAAATTTATTTTTTATTGCTTTCTATGCGTGAGTTATATACAATTTGAAAAATAGTTCTTACGGCTCCCAAGGTGAAGAGACATGTGAGTTACGTATGCTTCGTGAGGCCCTAGGCTCAAAAGTAGTGTGAGTTAAATACAACTAATAGGTCAGTTAATGTGTTAATCAGGAGACAGGACTGCCTCCCTGCCATTACAAAATCCCCAAATAATAACACTGATATAACATAGAGAATGACTAAAAAATAGCTGGCAAATAGGGGAAAAAAATTAGGAGCCAGAGTTTTTCAACTTGACTTAAATCAGAGAAAGAAAATGAAAATTCAATGTTAAAGAAAAATATTTATGCAGAATGTCTTCTCATCTTCAAAACCAGATCGTATTAAATTTAACAAGGCCACACAGTCCTATTCAAAGTACAAAATACTCATTACAAGAACAATAATCAATCACAGAAATACAATTATGCACCTTGTGGTGCGATAGCTACAAGGGGAGAAAAAGACCTAGAATCATCAGTTAACTTCAAGGGTTACAAAATTACAGGATCACAGTAATAATGCCACCAAAAAAGAAAACACCTACTGAAAGGTGGTGACTGTCACCTCCTCTGAGCTGTGTAAGAAGAGCTAAATATGGGTAACCTCTGAGGCAGAGGTTCTTATGTGGGCTAGAATCACAGGAGGGTAAGTATATGAAGGGGTGTGTCCAAGAACTATCAACTGTATGAACTGTATACAAAGGTGTGTGTCTATCAGTCTGGGTAAAATATATGGCAAACCGGTGGATGAATTTATGTGAGTAATGTCCACACATTCACAGTTTTCTGAGGAAGAGTCAGGTCTCCTTTAGATTCTTTAAAAAAAAAACAACTGATAATAAAAGCAAACTGCTTAAAAAAAAAAAAAAAAGATGTCACAATGAATTCAAACTTCTAGCGTGTGTTCCACAAATACTATTTGATGTAATTATATGCCAGGCTGTGCTAGGTACTAAGAATAAGGAAAGGGATAAGCAAATGCACTCAGGGGACTTACTGACTAGTGAGAAAGATACATTTTACAAGAAATTACAATAGTGATGTGTTTATAAGAAATAAAACACAGCACTGCTGGAGCTTACAGTGAGAGGATCTAACCAAATCTAGAGGTAAATCTAGAAGTAAGGCAAGATCTTCAGGGCAAAGTGACATTTAAGCTGAAACTTCAAAGAACCGCAAGACATACCCAGATGCAAAGCAACAGAATTAATCAAGATTTTAGCACAAACATCATAATGTATAAGCTGTATAATTATTTGGTGGTGGGAAATTTAATCTGAAGGCATAGTTGATCCTATCAAAATAAAAAAAAAACCAACACTCTGAAAAGAAAGTGATTCTGATATACTTCAAACCAGAAAAGCAGAACAAATAGAAGGAAACTATATATATATATATATATATGAAAATAAGATATTTGTACAAGTTCAGAAAATGCCTATTTGTTATATACCTGATGTCTTAACAATAGTTATCTTTGGGAAATGGAGGAATTTTGCTTTCTTTCATATAAATATGTATTGTTGGATTAAAAAAACTTATTTGAGCAAAACGAATTTTAAATGGCAAAAACCTCTTTCCATTTTGTTCAATACTATTATATTAGCACATCTATTACATTCCCAAGATAGGAAGACATAAGGATCCAGCGTAAGAAAAGGTGATCAAAAGAGGAGAAAACAGATCATATGCAGAAAGAACTAGGATTGCCTGTAAGAATGAAGATAAAGCTAAAGATTTCTTGAAGGGAAAACACAATTATTTCACAAATCGCCACAAGACCTTAGTACCCTAAAAGACCAGAAGAGCCATGAAGAGATTTTTGTTAGGAACGAACTTCCTGATCAGTTAGATAATATTTTGACAGGTTTAGAAAATACAAAACCCCTTAATGAGCTAAATAGTTTCATTTTTAAGGTCTTCAAAAAGAGAATGGAAAAGTACCACGTCTCCTAGGTTGATTTTGACAATCAAATGCCTTAAACTGAAGACCTACGAATTGCATTCTGGAAAATTGTTCTAAGCCTTGAAATACTTAATTATGTGCTCAATAAAGGATAAAATAATTCCTCTAACATTAGAAGTGCTCTGATCTACTGATAAGATTCACTGGGAAAGAAAGCAATTTCTGACTTTTACTGAAGGAATCTTTATATTACATACATATATACACATACACACACACACACACGTATATATAAAGTCCATGATTGTTTCTGGCCTGCAAACACTTAAATCACTGAAACTTATTAAGTATTCACCAATTGACAGTTGATTACACACAATTAATAATACAGGTTGTGTGAGATTCACATAAAACACACACTCTTTGTACACCTGAGCTATAAGCATGTAAATGTCATATTAAGAAAAGCTAAAAGTTTCTGTTCTTAGATTAAAACTGTATTTCTATCGAAGTGTTATCTAAAGGACCATTAATTTACTATCATGAATGACATTACCTTCTCTTCTGAAGTAAACACTAAAAATATCAGGTAACTTCTGCATTAAGATTTCTGCCATCTGAAGTGCTCCAACTACTATCTTCAGGTCTTGGCTTGATAGCATGGAAGCGATGTGACTAAAAAAAGGAAGCATTGGTATATAAAACTTTGCTTGAATTTGATAATTATTTTTGGCCATACTACTTTAAATTTCAGAGAAAAATATTTTCGTTGTGAAATCATTCCATTAAAACAAAAATTTTTCATAAAGGCTCAACTTTTATATTTTATACAAGCTGTGTGTGAACATAAATAGACCAAAAAAGGGCTCAAGATACTCCAAACTTGTATGCATATTTCTTTGTATTATTACTTTAGAGATTTCTGAAATTACTCGCAGACTTGAATTTCTAAAATGTTTTTACTATTTTCATGAACACACCTTGAAACAGCATGATTTTTCAGAACATCCTTCAGAAGTTCGGCATCCGCAAAATAAATTATCCTAAGAATTGCTCTAAGGCACTTATGTCTGACCGCAGGTCCTGCTGAGGAACTATACACTTCATAAAGAACACCAAATAATGTCTTAATAAAAGACTTAGCCAGTTCCGGATCCTCTTTCATAAGCTGTGCTCGAGCATCATCCTTCTTTAACTCTGAATATCCACCTGTTACACATATCAAAAAAAAAAAGACAATCCTGAAGTGACAGAGCACTCATGTCAATGTAATTACTGAAAATGCCACTAAAAATTTTTTTGTTATAAAACAAATTAACTTATCTAATATGATCAACTAGGGTTTACAAAAATGCTAAAAGCACCATTAAGATAAAGTTCAGCCAGCTAGAAAACCACTGACCATTCAGGTCAGCTAATGAGACATCGCCACATTGTACTTTATTTTATTAATATATATTCAATGAAATACTGGGGAAATTTCAATACTAACCAACTAAGCAGTGTTCAAGAAATGGATAGTATTTAGCTAGAAAACCACTGACCATTCAGGTCAGCTAATGAGACATCGCCACATTGTACTTTATTTTATTAATATATATTCAATGAAATACTGGGGAAATTTCAATACTAACCAACTAAGCAGTGTTCAAGAAATGGATAGTATTTAGCTAGAAGTCATGTGAAATGGATAAACAAGGTGATTCTGGCACTTTGCTTAATGCCATCAGTTGTAGGGAAAAGGTAGTTGATAATAAGTGACCATAATAAGTGACCAGGGGTTGGCAAAGTATGGTCCACAAGCCCAATCCAGCCCACCACTTGTTTCTGTAAATAACATTTTATTAGAACACAACCATGTAAATGTCTTTACATGTTGTATATGGCTGCTTTAGAGCTACAATGGCAGTGGTGAGTACAGACTCATGTGACCTACAAAACCTAAAATACATACCTTCTGGCCCTTTTCAGATAATGTATGCTGATCTCTGTGCTCTAAACAAGAGATGTAAAAGCAATGGACTAAATCTCTGAGGGAAAGATAAATGTCAGGGAAAAAAAAATCACTATCATCTGTTCTTCATTAGTTAAAGAGAATTTTGGCAGGAAGGTATAAAATGAAAGTTTGGAAAGAACTAATGAGTAGATGGATCTGCATGAGCCAGTCTTATTAAGCTACATCCCAGGACATCACATTAGTAGAAAAATCTTGGGAAAGATAGCTGGTAAGTAACACTGGCTCATTTGTCAATGAAGGAACAGGACTTAAAAAAAAATGCAACCACCAAAAAAACTAATTACCATGCAATTGTCTTAAGTTTAAAAGGATAATTAATGAATCAACTATTATGCAAATAGAAAATATTACTCACATGACAATACAGTACTATTTCAACTCAGAAGGTACTTACTAGTGTTAGTATTGGCTAAGGGGTTAGGTTTTCTCTGAATGGCACGTGCTGTTCCCGTGTCCTCATTGATTTGCTGCATAGAATTAAAATCAATAGTATAAACTCGTCCCAGAGTGGACAAGCTTATCTCATCCTCACCGACCTGATGGGCTGCCTGAGAGCAAAGAGAGAGAAACCTTGAATATAAACATGGAGAAATTTATTACCTTAAGACACAGCGGGGACCTTCCATAAATGCTATCTTACATACTTATTTCGTCAGGCCTTAGACAGCAAAGTAACAGAATATGTATAATTTAATAGTGTAGATATGACAAAACTCATTCATTTAATAAATCAATTTTAATTACACAAAGATATACACCTCAGGCCCTACCAGACACCCACAGACATAAATATCCAAGTAAAATCCTCATCAAAGATCCAGTCATATAAGCATCATTGACATGAAGACGACGACACCATTTGTACTACGATATTGCTGATTGGAAAAAATTTGTTATCCACATCTCTTAGGATTCTCAGATTAAAAACATTTACATGACAGGTTCTTAGCAACCCATCAAGATCCTCTTTTAAGCAAAATAATCCTGTAAAATAGTCCTTAATAAACAAAGACAACTTTAAGATTGAAAGTGACGCAAATGAACTAACGAGATTCACTGCCAGGGTTGCATACAATATACAGAAATATCTAAATTGAGAGAGTTTGAGTAACACAGTTTGCTTGATTTTAGACAGCCTATAGAAGCAGCAGAGTATTTATTTTTATTACAGACTCCAATTCATGGAATTCCTAGGCTGAATGGAAGACAGGACCCTCAGCACATACTAGAGAGCAAGCTAATGGTGAAGACGCAATCATCAAGAAAATGTTAAAAAGAAGAATGCTAAGAGATCAAAACCAAGATCATTAGTAGGCTTGGCCTGCCTGCTTATATGCTAAGGCTAACAATACACAAAAGACCAGTCAAAGTCAACTTCCTCATAAAAGCTGGCTCTGAATTTAGATTTCATCTTAAGAACTCTCGATTTTATAACATTAAGCCAATGGTATAAATTTTTTTCAAAAATTCATTTTTAGAAACTGGTGGGAGACATCTTTAAAGAAGAATGTCTATTCGAGAAGTGTGCTGCTCTAAAGAAATTCTAATACCAAATGTTGAAATTAGAAAATATATTAACACTTACAAGTATCTTATATATTGAAAATATTAGTAAATGATGGACAGTATTCTCAATACAGTAACCAACACTTCATAAGCTAGGGTAAATATGCTGATTTAATTTTTAAAAAATATTTCGGTGCAAACCTAAGTATGGAAATAA